ACGACTCTATGCAGATGCAAATGCGGTACCGACTCACTTCAACAGATTCTCCACGGAATCAAGTATTCAGCAGATTCTCCACGGAATCAAATATTCATCAGATTCTCCACGGAATCGAATATTCTACAGATTCTCCACGGAATCAAATACTTTAGCCAATCCTCCACGGGATTACATGTTATGACCGATTCTCCAAGGAATCACATAATGCAACCGGTTCTCCAAGGAATCTAATATAACCATCGTACCATACGAGGTTCTGCAAATCCTCCGAGGGATCAATCAACACCAAAATACATACTAAGATGCTTCACAATGCAAATCCTCCGAGGGATCGATCAACACAAAATGCATACTATGTTCGCAGACATACTCATTGCATTTATCACATACATCGCATATATTTATCATGCATTCACATTATACACCATTTCACACATGGTTTACATACCTATTAATCCGTCAATGCATTTCTATCCAATTCGAGAAAACGCACAAGATTATCAAACGAATAAGACTCACAATCGACTCCACAATCTAGGATTCACGCCTTTCGGCCACCCACAGCATGACATGTCGAAACAGTTCACACATCAATCATTCATATGAGCATTAATCATAATTGAATCAACCAAACATCATGCTATGAACAAAACAGCAAAACAAATAACACTGCCAGGTTCGCCAACCTTCGCCTGGCGAAGCCACGCAGCGAATGCTCGCTGACCTTCGCCTGGCGAACTTCCCAGCGAAGTCCACTGGGAGTAATTCTGGAATTACTCGCTGAGGCTCGCTACACACTCGCCTGGCGAACCTTCGCCACACACCTTCGCCTGGCGAAATTGCCAGCGAAGACAGGGTATCTGCTACTGACTTGGTTCGCTGCAGCTCGCTGGGCTTCGCCTGGCGAGCCTGCGAAGACAGAACTTCCATGGCTGTCCCAAAATCCCAATCTCCTCATAATCAACCGATTAAATCCAAACCAGTCTCAGTGACACAACCCAACCATCACCCGACTAAACTACATCGTCTAATCCGAGTTCTAACCGATCGAAACATCATTCTACTCATAAAACCAACTTCTAACCTAAGTGGAAAAAGAGTAGAAACTCTACAAAATCCAAACACATACACATACAATCATACACATTAAAGAGATGATGGAGTTTCACACCCTTACCGATCGATTGCAAGCTTTGGTGATGATTCCTTGATGATTCTAGGTTTTCTTGCCCACTTTCTCTTCTCCTCTTTTCTTTCTCTTGTTTTTCTTCTTATGTTACTACTTTCTTTCTTTTCCTCTCTTATTCTATTTCTATCTCTATTTCTTTCCTCTCAAATTCTTTCCAACACTTACCAATCAATTCTCACACTTAATTGCTAAATGTCCAAAATACCCTTTTTACTCTAATTCCCCGAAAACTCTCTGAATCGGTAAAAATAGTAAAATAAGCAAACACAACATAATAACACATAATTTCTCAATTTAAAACAAACATCAATTAAATAAATTAAAAGACTCGACAATTAATGGGAATTGAGAATCGGGGCGTTACAGAAGGCCTGAGGTTGTTCGCGCAAAAATCGCGTGCGAACAATGTGATAAATCCATTTGTGGAAAAGAAGAAGATATAGCTTCAAAGGAGCCCAAATCAACCTTTTGACTATGGTTCAGATGTTGATGAGTTTGATTTTGACTAGTCAAACTTCTTCAATAACCATGCTTATTTTTCAGAGGAATTTGGAGAAGATTGGATAAATTGGTGTTTTGTGATGGGTTTTTTGCTTTAGTGAGGGGTTTAACCTCTAGCTAAAAACGTTTTTTCTTGTAGTGTATAAGAGGAATTCAGTCCTTGTAGCCCCTTTTTGATAATAATATGTGTTTTTATTTTTTTCTTGCATGAAACACTTTTAATCACTTGCATCCATATCACTTAACCCAAAGGAGAAACACTTTAAATAATTTTTCCCAACCATTCTAACTAAACAAAATATTCATAAGTAAAATGTGAAAATAAAATAGAATTTAATTTTATCCAGAAACATTTGATTCCCAAAGATAACAATCGTTTTTGTTAAGAGAATAATATTTATGAAAGAATTCACATTTCTTAGCAAGTCATAGATGATCTTAGGCCTGCCTCTGACACTCATTTATTTAGGGAGTTTCCATTTCTTCCTCTTATTTGGGACAATTGGGCTCCATCAAAAGTGGTTTTTTTTTCTGAAAACTTCTTTTGGATAGGTTTTCTTTTCGGGATATCTTGTTTAAAAGGAAGGTTATTTTCGGTCAAGAGGCTATCTCTTGTATCCTTTGTGGGAACTAGCTTGAATTAGCCTCCCACGTTTTTGTCACATGTACAGTCTCCTCTTGTGTCTGGTATACGATCTTTGGATGGTTAGTTTAACACCATAAACCTCAAATATGATTCATAAAATATTGCAGAAAATATGAAGATAAAAAACAAAGGTGTGACATTGTAAAATATTCAATTTCATTCCAAAGATGGAATTTTAATTCAAAACATAGCATAAGTAACTAGTTCAAAATAAATTAAAGAACATAGAAAAGTTTTCTCAATCCAATGTTACAATATTAGAGCAAAAAAGAAAATAATACTAAAAGTCTACAAGAGGTACGACAAACATAATGCAAAAATAAAACTACTAAAGAGGTCAACTACACCATCCTCGATAAAACAACATCTATCACTCCTCAGTCTTAACTTGGTAATTATCTACAAGAGTACAAAGGTATAAATATAAAGACAAGAAAGGGGTGAAAATACATTTCATAAATTAAATAGTGTATAAATAACAAGGATAATACATAACAAGCATATTTAGTCAACACAAATGTACAATAGACAATTTCATTATGCAGTGCTTATTTCCTAAACTTCCAATACATGTGGTACTCAGTCCTAACACTTATATCAGAGTTATTTTACTAATTGATCATCAACACTGGATCAAAGTCCTGAATATCAGAGTTATTTAATGAGTGATCCTCCACACCAGATCGATGTCCTAAATATTGGGTCGAAGTTCTAAGCTAATCTCTAATATACATGATGCACGATCAAACAAATGCAAATATTCTCCATCTGAACCTCCCACGCGAATTGTCAACATTGTCGAATAAGACTAATGTTGGTTCTTTCAAACCTAAAACACATAATTCAATAATTATACAAAATCAGGATCCACAGTTAACATAATCATGGAGGTTTTGAACAAACCCCACATAATTTAATAATAATCCATACAAGAGGAAATAGGTTAGGGGAATCCTCACTATCCCTAAGCTTAAACACCCATTATGAAAAAATCTCCCCCTTTACCATGATTAAGCTTAAACCTTTAAACTCTTGGTGATGAAAATTTCTATTCTTGAGAATCTCTCTTCTAGGATTGCCTCAACTCATCTCATTTTTTTCTACTAACAAGTTCTCTAAACTTCCGACACCCATATATAAAAAAATAAGTTTTATTTTTATTTTATTTATTCTTACTACTTTCCTTTATTTTATTATTTCTTAATATTTAACTCATAATTTCTAAATAACCACAACTCTTCCTATTCTCTATTATTATTATATTAATAAACCCTTATTTCTATTTTATTAAGATTATAAATAATAATACAAAAATCTCAAAGAAAACAAAAAAATTCTAATAAAATTCTACTAAAATTCTAGTAGAATTTTCGGGGTGTTATAGTTAAGGTTTCAGTTGATCTCCCTAGGAATATTAGGAATCTCTATGATATGTTCATCTTGTTAGGGGAAGAGTCTAAGTCTAGGAGAGTGTTTTCTATGATTTGACATGATGCCGCTTGGTCTATTTGGTTAGCGTGCAATGAGAAACACTTTGCTAAAAAAATAACAAACGTGAAAGAGTTGGAAGAGAAGAGTATTTATTTGGCATGGAGTTGGTTTTTTGATTGGTCATTTGTGAACACCTACTTTTTCTTTCAGAATCCTATCTAGTGTCATGATCAGTAGTGATTCTTTAGAGGTGTTATTCTTGGTGTAGTTGTGGTGCTTATGGCCTACAGATGGTGGGTCAGACGGTTTGAGCTCTAGTTAGTGGTCAGCAGAGTGGAGTTTTTGTCTCCAAATTTAGGGACCGGTTCTTGATTGTTTTGGTTGGATGATTTTTTGCTTTGCTCTTTCTTCGATGTTTTCGCTTTCTCTACTTGTTTGCTCTAGTTTATTTGTAAAAAATGATATATATATATATATATATATATATATATATATATATATATATATATATATATATATATATATATATATATATATATATATATATATATATATATATATATATATATATATATATATATATTATTTATCATTAAAAAAATGATATAAATAATAATAATTAAATAAAAATGCTAATAATATATATACTATATAGTAAACCAAAGAATGTATAATAGTAATAATAATTAAATTTATCAGTTTCTATATTAAAATAATAATTAATTAAATAAAAATACTAATATATTAAAAAATAACACCCCACAGTTTCTAAATTGCTATAAATTAGAAACCTAGTATTGCTAAAAATTAACCCATAAATTTGAGGTAAAATTAGATTTAATATCAAATGAAATAAATTTTTGAATGGAATATTTATATTATATAATATTTTTGGTAGCTGAGCATATAATATATTGAACTCAACAATTTGATGGGTGTGTATAAATTTGAACAGATTAAAAATTAGAGATTAATATTTTATATATGTATTCATATGTTTAAACAGTAATTAGAAATTTATAAGGAGGCCCACTGAAGTAATACAGGGTTTTTTAAAGTGAAAAAAACAAACCCTAATTCTAGAGATTTATAAGGAGGCCGAGTGAAGTGAAAAAAACAAACCCTAATTCTAGAGATATAAATCCTACTAGTTGTTTCAATTTAGTTTTGGAGGCAGAACACAAAGCTTGAAGAATTTGTGATTCAGGTTAGGTTTGCAGCAACGGCAGAATGGTGAAAAAAGTCAAGAGTGAATCAACTGAGTTGCCTGATTGTATTATATCACATATCTTTTCCAAGCTAAGTTTGAAGAATTTGGTGAAAACTAGTGCATTGTCCAAACAATGGTATCACGAATGGGGATTAAGAAAGGACCTCAATTTTGATCTCCATAACATGTTTGACTGTAATCCAGAGTTACCAAAAACCCCACTCTTTCCACCCTTTCAACAGCTTCAATCTCAATTTGCCACAAGATTGGATTATTTCATCCAGAAATATCATGGTGACATCATCAGTTCAATCAGAATCAATTTTCCATTAGGTCGGGATAATACTCATGTCATTGATAGATTGATTCACAAAGGAGTTCTTAAGGGTGTCAATCGTATTGAGCTGCTCTTCGCATATCCACGGCCATTGCCTGATTTTGAAAAAGCAATGAAAGCAATGCCCTTTCCATATAATGAATCTGATTTTGAAAAAGCAATGATTCCATATAATGAATCTGATTTTGAAATAGAGCCATACAATTTTTTCTTGTGATTTTGAAAAAGCAATGATTCCATATAATGAATCTGATTTTGAAATAGAGCCATACAATTTTTTCTTGTCTGACTCTCATAATTCTCTCACATATCTACACCTACAGAACTGCCGCATAATGGAATTTTCTGGATTGAAGAATTTGACAACTCTTGTGTTGCATCTACTTCCTGTCGAGCAGAATATGCTTCAGGATATGTGTCTTAAATGCATCCATCTTCACAACTTGACTCTTAATGAATGTACCTTCAGATCTGACTTAAAAATAACTAGTACAACATTGCTTCATTTGAACATTAACTGCGGGGATATCATTGGCGAGAAGATTAATATTGATATCATTGCATCAAATCTCTCCTCCGTTCAATATTCCTCAGACTGTCTCGCTGAATTTCTATTACACACGCTGAATATCAAGTCTCATAAGTTATCCAACTTTAGCTACACATGTGCTCAAATTTCTAATCTTGTTCACTTTTCTGGACTCAAGAATGTCACAACAATTGTCTTGGATGGACTCATGGAGGGTGATGTCATAAATTTTGGACTCAGGGAGGGTGATGTCATAACTCATCTGTTTTCTAAATGTCTCCAACTCCAACATGTCACCATTAGCCAGTGTTGGCTCACGTGTGAATGCAAAATCATCAGTGCAAAGTTGCGTCATTTGAGCATACTTCATTGTTTCAATACCAATGTCTTGGATATTGCTTCCAATGGCTCATTGTTTGAATACAGAGGTCATCCGGAGACGAGGAGCATACTCTCTATTCATGCTTTGAATCTCTCATCCTTTGAATTTAGAGGTCGTTCGGAGATGAGGAGCATAATCTCCATTGAGGCCCCAAAGTTATTGAAGGATTTTTGGGATGCAGGTTTTAACAAGATATGCATATAAGTTATGGCTTTAACTTTTTTTTAAATTAGTTTTAAATTAGTTTTATAAGCTGCTTTTAAGATTCATTTTATATGCTGTTCAAGGTAACTTAAAAGTCAATATGAAAACAGTTTTATTTTATTTTATCTTTTGTTAAAGAGAAACAACTTATATATAAAAATTTATATGATAAGTGTTTGTGTTGAAAATGATTCACTAAGTTGTTTATTTAAATAAGACAAAAATAAATTTATTTTTCGTAAAAAGTCATCCATAATTAGGGTAGTATATGGTATAGTTCTTTCAAAGAATTGAATTATACCGAACTTAACCATAATAAAAAATTATTGATTGTGATTTTATGAGTCTATCGGATTATCTAACTGTAAGTATATAGTCTATTTAAAAGATATCAAATTCACGGGAACTAATAATCAATCTAATGTTATCTATTGATACTGTGTAAAGTTAAGGCTAATGAATATTTGAGTTAGGGGAAACTAAAACTAAAATTAAAACTATAATAAGATTTTAAAAATATATCAGACAAGAGAGACCAGAATGTGATTCCGTACATCTTGAGGACTTTGTAATTCATTGGCGTTAGTTAACGGTTAATTTGCCTTCACTAGATAATACCAGTTTAAAAACTTCATCTCACACTATCGCGCTATTGATTAAAACTACATTTTCTGACCATGAGATTTTTCTCTCACTCGTCCATTTCAATCAAAAAGAATTTTTTGAAAACTAAATAAGTCCTAATTGATACCTAAAGTGTTCTCGTTGTATTTAGGATCAATGCCCAATTGTCACTATTCGGTTCAATCATCCCACTCTCGCGTTATCGGCTCGGACTTTTATTTTTTTTCACTCTCGTGCAAAACATTTTGAATTAATATTGAAAACTAAAGTCAGAAGAGAAATTTATGAAAAGTTAATGCCAATTTAATTACCGAGTCCTGTCAGAACAACGGTCATCATATACCAGACTTAAAGAGATTTAACCAGACATTTTTCGAGACATTTTTCGAGAGTTAAACATAAAATTTATAGCAATTAAAATTAAGGACAGAAAAACTAAAATACGATAAACAAAAATTAATAGCAATGATATAATAACCTGTGAAAATTAAAATTAAAATTAAAATACTTCTAATATAATGAACAGAAACAATATAATTTTAAATATGTCGGCAGAATTGCAATTCAAAAGTACAATATAAAACATAAAATTAATTGTGTGATAACCTCTCAATATAAGAAAGATATATAACTTTGCAAGATTACATCAGCTTCATCCGAATTTCTCACTCATACATGCATGCACTTGATGTTGATGTTTCAGTGTTTCTCAATAATTATTTTTATGCTATGCTACTTGATGTTTATGTTTATGCGATTCTCAATAATTGCTTTTATGCTATGCTACTTGATGTTTATGGGTTTCTTCATAATTACTTTTAAACATATATCCAAGTCAATCAAGGATTTGGTTCAATCTCAAAATGTAATACAATTGGAAAATTTTTGTTGAAACATGTCATCATAATATCAACCATACAAAATGGCTAATGTTGAGTTTTTTCTTGCTCATTTTTTAAAATATGTTATAATTTACTATTTTTATGAATAATATTTTTCTAAACAGTTAGTATGTAAATCAATCTTGACTTCAACATGAAGTTTTAGTTTTTTTTTTTAAAATTTTACACTGTCTTTGTTTATAAATATAAAAAAAATTTACAAATTATTATAGAATAAATAGATGGTTTTGAATATTAGATAGTCTAATATGGTTTAATAAATAACGACTTTAACTGCTTTTAAAATAATTAATAAATAGATAATTTTGAATATTTAGATAGTTAAATATGTTTTAACAAATAGATATTTTGCTTTTAAAATATTTAAATTCTAACTGAGTAAAATTAAAATCCCAAACACATCGAAAAATAAAAAAGCAAACCATATTAAACATTATCGAACGATCATACCGCTCAAATCACATTTTAAATTAATTTTTTATAGCCTAAAATCATAGACTTATATGAACATTCGCGTGTGTATATATATATATATATATATATATATATATATATATATATATATATATATATATATATATATATATATATATATATATATATATATATATATATATATATATATATATATATATATATATATATATATATATATATATATATATATATATATATATATATATATATATATATATATATATATATATATATATATATATATATATATAAATGAATTTTCATTATAAATTATTTTTTAAAACATTTATCACCCACATGAAAAATTAAATATTATTATCGTTTAAAAAAAGTTGGTTTTTTTTTAAATAATTATTTTTTTATAATTTAAAATAAACTTCAATGTTAAAAAAATCAATAATGCTATTTAACCAAAGTTCTAATATAACCAAGTAATAATATATAATAGTTTTTTTTTAGTTAACTACAATTTGGTTCGTTAAATTTTGGTTTGGTAAACTGCGATTTGATTATCGAACTCTTTGATAAATTGTAGTTTTGTTCATTAACTAGAGAGAATAATTTGTTGTTCATTAACTAGAGAGATTATTCTTTCAATTCTATAGTTAGATTCATTTCTATTAATTTTTTGAACAACCAAGGACCTGGCTGGATACACAATATGTCTCCTAGAGAGTAGTATAATGTCTTCGAAAATATCGTAAGTCTTAGGCACTTTCTGCAAGAGCGAGATTGTAACAGCCCAATTTTCAATGATTAATTATTTGTGTTAAATAATTAATTTATTTGGATTATTCTAATTATTTGAATAATTAGATGATTGTTTAATGAATTGATAGGGGTTTAAGAGGGTAAATATATTAGAAAGAAATAAAGAGAAAGATATATATATATATATATATATATATATATATATATATATATATATATATATATATATATATATATATATATATATATATATATATATATATATATATATATATATATATATATATATATATATATATATATATATATATATATATATATATATATATATATATATATGAGGAAGTGGAAAGAAAAGGAAAAAAAAAAGGAAGAAAGAGGAAGAGCAGAAAGAAGAGGAAAAACCTAGAATCCACTAGAGCAACTTCCGAGCTTTCGATCGATCAGGTAAGGGTGTGAAACCTTACTATCTTAATCAATGTGTATGATCATGTATATGTGTGTTTGGATTTGTTGGGGTTTTCTACTCATTTTCTATTTAGGGCAGAAGTTGAATTAATGGGTAGAAATGATGTTTAATCGGTTAGAATCGAGAATGAACGGAGTAGTTTAGTCGGGTAATGTTGGGTTAAGTCTAATGGGGTTGATTAGTATTGAATCATTTGGTTTTGTGAGGTTTAGGCTTTTGGACAGCCATGGAAGTTCTGAGTTCGCAGGTTCTCCAGGCGAAGCCCAGCGAACACAAACATAACCAAAACACTCAGTCTTCGCTGGCAAGTTCGCCAGGCGAAGGGAGGTGGCGAAGGTTCGCCAGGCGAGTGTTCCAGTGAGTGCTAGCGAATAATTCCAGTAACTCCCAGTGCTCTTCGCCAGCGAGTTTGCCAGGCGAAGGTGGTAGCGAGCATTCGCCAGGCGAAGGGTGGCGAATGTGACAGTATTTGTCTTATTTTGACTGGTTCCATCCAATGCTGATGTATTTGATATAAACATGTAACGAATAGCTTGTGTGCTGTTATATGATGTACTGTGGGTAGCCGTATGGCGTGAATCCTAGATTATGAATTGATTGTGAATATGTGGCCTTTTGGCATATGTGATGCGTCGTTTAAATTGATTAAAAATGCATGATGGATGAGATTGAGTTTGTTGCCGTTTGGCACGATAATTGTGAGATATGAATGTGAATCTAGTATGAAACAATTATGAGGTGAATGATGAATATAGGATAAATATATTGTGAGTGCATATTGAATGTATATGCTGATGCGTGACGGATGAGGAATGCTATATATATTGCGAATGTATGATTATTGTATGTGATAAATGTGAAGAATGCATGAAAAATATATCTGTGAATATGTGTGCAGTGATATGTGATGAATGCATGAGTATGTTTGAAAACATGTATGCATTTTGTATCGATTGATCCTGCGTAGGATCTGCAGAGACATCGTGTGCCCATGTGGGGTGTGAGCGATGGTCTATAATTGATTGAGCCATTTTGTATGTGAAGCATCATGGTCTGCATTCTGGTTATATTGGATTCCATGGAGAATCTGCAGAACCTCGCTTGATGCGATGGTTATATTTGATTCCGTGGAGAATCTGCAGAACCTCGCTTGATGCGATGGTTATATTTGATTCCGTGGAGAATCTGAAGAACCTCGCTTGATGCGATGGTTATATTTGATCCCGTGTAGGATCTACAGAACCTCGTGTGCCCTTGTGAGGTGTGAGCGATGGTTATATTTGATTCCTTGGAGAATCTGCTGAATGAGTCGGTACCGCATTTGCATCTGCATAGAGTCGTAAGTCGGTCTCTATAAGTTGCAAATCATCTTTATATGATGCATTGGTGAAATAAACATGTATATAGATGTTTATGTGAATTGGTGAGGAAATAAACATAATTGTAAATGTTTATGTGAAAATGATGTGAATTATAGAAGCATGATTGAATATGCTTGCTTGTGTGTATATTTATGCATCGTGATGTATATGATGAATTATGAATAATGTCTGAGAATATAATAGTGCATGCATATATATATATATATATATATATATATATATATATATATATATATATATATATATATATATATATATATATATATATATATATATATATATATATATATATATATATATATATATATATAGTGCCTGATGAATATAAGGATGATGTTGATGTATATGTGGAAGAGTTGTACTCACTAGGGTAGAATGGCAATGTGTCGTTCCTAGTGAAGTAGTTACCTGGGTAGAATAACTGAGATGTTGTTC